GAGCCAAGGATACTGAGTGTTACACAGCTCAGGTAGAAAGGTATCCTGGAGCTCGGGAGCCAAGGACCACCACAGGTTGCAGTAAGCTTGGCAGCTTACAGCCTTGCCTCAGAGAAAGGCTTCTCCGGTGTGTCAGCTCCGCTCCGGCAGGACAGGGTCTTCCAGCTGGGGATGTTCGCCTAGTGTAGCAGTTTTGCTCCGCAGGAGGTTTCTCGGTGAAGTTGCTACAGTTCAGCTCTGCTCCTGGAGAGCGGAGAGCAGAGAGCAGGGAGCCGGGAGCAGAGTGTAACAACTCCGCTCTGCCAAGGAAGGTTTCCCGGGCAAGTGTTACAGCGCTGCTCGCTCTGCTCTGCTCTGCTCTGCCCAGGGTCGCCTCTGCTCTGTCGCCACCGCAAAATAAGATCTTCACCCGAAGCTCATCCACAGGGGTTTATTGGAAGACAGCTGGGCCAGCCAAGCTGAACATACACAGGGTTTATATAGGGATTCCTGGGGTTGGGGAAGTTTTTCCAGGGTAGGGATTGGTCCGATTTCAGTGCTGAGCTCAGATTGGCTAGAGCTCTGCTCCGGGATTGGTTACTTTTTTACACAGGATTAGGGTCAGATTTGGCTCTGGTTTCAGGGCCAAAGTGTGTTTCTTTCTCTGGTCCTTTTTAGCCTTTTGCCTCCAATTTTAGGGCCAGGGTACATTTCTTTCACTGACTCTGATTCCAGGGACAAAGTGTGTTCCTTTGGCACTGGTTTTAGGGTCAGGGTACATTTCTTTGGTTCTGGTTGCAGGGCCAAAGTGTGTTTCTTTGGCTCTGCTCAGGGTGTGTTTCTTTGACTGGTCCCTTTTCCCTACACTACAGTCTGAGGGTAGCCCGGGCTACATGGTTAAAAAACAAACAAACAACAACAGGTCAAAGAAAGAAAAAGAGAAGGGAGGGGAGAGGAATGAGGAGGAGAGGAAGGGAGACTCACTTGCAAGTCCCACTTGTGGGTTTCCACTTCTTACCAGCTTTCCTAGTAAAGGCAGAAATACCTTCCTAAGCCAAAGTCAGGATCACCAACTCTGTCTGAGCGCCCGAATGAACAAGGGAAATCTCTCTCTCTCTCTCTCTCTCTCTCTCTCTCTCTCTCTCTCTCTCTCTCTCTCTCTCTCCCTCCCTCCCTCCCTCCCACCCTTGGTCATCAGCGTCCAGGCTTTCCAGCCTTCGGACCCCAGGCTGACACCCGTGGCTCCCTCCGCACTCAGACTTGCAGCCTTGAACTGACATTTGCTTCAGCAGATCCCGGCTTGGAGGCCTCTGACAGGAACTCAACCACACTACTGGCATCCCAGGGTCTTGAACCTGGAAACATCGTGTCAGAGGGTTTCTCAGCCCTCATAACCATGTGAGCCAAGTCCCCTAATTGTAAAGAGAAGCTTTTTCTTTGTTAGCCGCTTTGGTTTATCACCCGCCAGTCGCCTGGGCTCTGCCACATTGTAGTCCCCAAATAAACACACAAGACGCTGTATTAATTATGAAGCTGTTGGCCTTGCTTGTTTCTTACTGGCTAACTCTGACTTAAGTAATTACCCCATAGTTGTTAATCTAAGTATGTCTCTTACCGGAGAATAGTTCCAGGCTTCCTACCCCCATGGCGTTACATGTTGACTCTCTGTGTTTCTCCTTCCCAGAATCCTCCTGGACTCCTAGCCCCACCTATCTAGATTCCTATAGGCTCAACAGTGCTTTATTGACAAATAACAGGCAAATAACAGGACTTCCCCAACACCTAATAAACCATCTGTTTATCTGTCCACCGGGTTACCCATCCATCCACTCATGAGCCATCACTCTAATTTTGCTTGAGGGATTAAAAGAAGAAACCAAAAGAATAAAAGGCTTCCTAGGCTTCCCCGCCTGAAACCAATGGGAGAAAGATGGAGAGGTGGCTTGGCTGATAAGAGCACTTGCTGCTCTTGCAGAGGATCGGAGGATCCGGTTCAGTTGTTAGCACTGACGTGGGCTCACAACGGCCTAACTCCAGAGACACCCTCTTTTGGCATCTGCCAGACATACATGCAGACAAAACCCTCATACGCATAAAACTTTTTAAAAAATGTTAATTGTTTTTTAAAAGTCAGGGCCAAAGGACACAGAACCCATCTGAGTTAGGCTAACCTAACACAGGACTCTTGAAAGCTTCCTGTTAGGACTTGAGGGGAGGACAGGAGCTATGTGAGGTCCAGGGGATGGCAGTGGTATGGATATTGCTAGGGCCCGGAATTCCTTACCATTGAGGAGCAAAGCCATGATGCTAAAGATCTCTCTCTCTCTCTCTCTCTCTCTCTCTCTCTCTCTCTCTCTCTCTCTCTCTCTCTCTCTCTTTTGGTTTTATGAGACAGGGTTTCTCTGTACTGTTTTGGAGGCTGTCGGTCCAGCCCGGCCTCGAACTCACAGAGATCCGCCTGCCTCTGCCTCTGCCTCCTGAGTGCTGGGATTAAAGGCGTGTGCAAAGATCTCGTTTTTAATAAAGGCACCGGGCTGCTGTGGGTAGGGATGATCCCACCCCAGAATTGCATTGCTTTAGAGTGCAGAGCTGCCTCCATGGGGGTAAAGTGTGTGTATGTGTGTGTGTGTGTGTGTGTGTGTGCGCACATGTGTGCCTATGTATGCATGTGCTTGCATGTGTGTGTGCGTGTGTGTGCGCACGCATGTGTCTATGCATGTGCGTGCGTGCGTGTGTGTGTGAGCGCACATGTGTGTGTGCTCAAGCACGTGTGTGTGCCTATGCATGTGCGTGCATGTGTGTGTGCGTGTGTGTACGCGCGCGTGCGTGTGTGCGCGCGTATGTGCCTATGCGTGTGCATGCGTGTGTGTGTGTGTGTGTGTGTAAGTGCATGATGTAGGCGGGGGGGGGTGGTAACTAAATTAAAGGCTGATGCCCATCAGAGGTCAAGGTTTGCAAGCCTCCACCTACCTCCAGAGCAAGGACAAGGCCCCGAAAGACACAAGTTCTCAAACTCGGTACCCACTCTGCTCCCAGCAGCCCCAGCAGCACTTACGGAGGTCTGGGCAGAGCCAGGACAAAGATCAGAGATGCAAGCGTGGGACCACGTGAGAGACATCCCTCGGGCTCTCAGAAACCCACATCAAAGGCTGCCTGAGAGTCCGAAGGGATAGGTCACGACCCAGGCAGAACTTTGAAGAAAAAATGATACATTTTAAATTCGCCTCCAAGGGGGTGAGAAGCAGCAGCTGCATTTGGATGCCGTTTTCAGAGAGGGACTTGCTGCTGCTGTACCTGTACGCACCACCTTATTCTTTAATCGTCCTGGCAACTCCCTGCCCGCAGTGTCTTCCAGCGCTCAAGCCCCATTGGCCTATCATGTCCCTACAGGTTGGGGAGGGACTGGCTTTGGTCCCTTCTCCTGCTCCTTGTTTCTCAGCTCTGTTTTTCTGCCGGGAACAAGAGCTTCGCTTCCAACTCAGGTTAGCTGCCAACCTCAGGCAAATGTCCTGCCTCGGTTGCCGGAGTAATCGCAGTTGTGATTACAGCTGTGCCCCGCGATGCCCACTGGGCAGCTTTCACTTTGCTGTTTAAAATATTACACAGTCCATCAAAAGCCTTTTGAAAGATGACGCCGTGACTCACCAGGGTCAAATTTAAGGCACCCTGTTGCACATTTTAGAGAGGGGCTCCTATTTTAGCCACCGCAGTCACTGCGAAGCAGATCCCCGCCTGGAATCCAACTCCTGGTGCCACCAAAGCCCGAGCGAGCTGCTTCTGCTGCTTCAAGTGACCTCTGTTCAACCCCAGCGGGGAGAGGGCGCTGGTGAAGCAGCTCACCTCAGGTCAGACTGCAGGAGGCGCTCTCCCTCCTACTTGCAGGCTGAGCCTCTCACCTTGGCGGATTTGGCTTGTTTTTTTTTTTCTTTACAAGTGAGTGGTGTCAAACTGATGTGGTGGCATCGGGACCATTACAGATCTCTCAGATACAAGAGGGGGAAAAAAAAGAGGCTTCATGGCGACGGTACAGCTGTATTTGAGGTGGAAAATGAGTAGTTCCCCTGCCCCTGCGTGGTCCCAAGCCTCGCTCCCTCTCCCTCCCTTCCTCCCTCCCTCCTTCTCTGTGTCTCTGTCTCTGTCTCTCTCTGCACTTTAATTCTGTACCCATTCCCTTTTCACATCTTCATTTTTTCCCTGCCTCTTCCTTGAGATAGGACCTTGAAGGTGACTTCTCAAGAGGGTGTCAGAGGTGGCATTGCCCCAGCTGAGGGATGTGGAGAGCTGGCGTTCGCGCCCAGATGAGGTGAGAAGGTCAGCACGCTCCTTCCACACCCTCTCGCAACCTCTGGCAACTTGTTACAGTGTCTCCAACAGTGCCCAGGCTCCCATTGGCCCACCACCACGCAGCCCCATTGGTTGTGGGGGTAGTGACAGGGCTGTGATTGGTCCCCATGCTGAGGTAACAGGTCAGCTTTCTGCCTTGAGGCAAGAACCTCTCTTCTCACTCTTCCCTGGGCAGTCAGGAGTGACTGACCCGTCAGGGCTTCGAGCAACTTCCTGCTGCGTGTTCCACAAGCGGCGAGGGTGCAGCGGTGCACGGTGCACCGTGGTGGCCTCCCTAAGGGTGAGTACCCTGCGGTCTCTCCTGTCGTGAGGGTGGGAGTGGGTGCTCGTGAATGCAAAAAAAATCTGATATGAGACTTCCTGCTGCGTGTTCCTCAAGCGGCGAGGGTGCAGCGGTGCACGGTGCACCGAGGTGGCCTCCCTAAGGGTGAGTACCCTGCGGCCCCTCCTGTCGTGAGGGTGGGAGTGGGTGCTCATGAATGCAAAAAGAAAGATCTGATGTGAGACTTCCTGCTGCGTGTTCCTCAAGTGGCGAGGGTGCAGCGGTGCACGGTGCACCGTGGTGGCCTCTCTAAGGGTGAGTATCCTGCGGCCCCTCCTGTCGAGAGGGTGGGAGTGGGTGCTCGTGGACGCATGAGCTCGTGTCCTGAGACTTCCTGCTGCGTGTTCGTTCCTCAAGCGGCGAGGGTGCAGCGGTGCACGGTGCACCGTGGTGGCCTCCCTAAGGGTGAGTACCCTCACGACATCGGAGGTCTTGGGAGTGAGTGCTCGTGAACGCACGAACTGATAGATTGTGTTCATGTGAGCACGTTTGTGTGTCGCCTGAGACTCGTGTGTGTGTGTGTGTGTGTGTGTGTGTGTGATCCCCGACTCCTACAGCATGTGAATGTGCGCCACCCGCGACTCTAGAGGATATGTGTATGGTCATCCGAGACTCCAAATGTGTGCGTGGTCACCCGCGACTCTAGAGAATGCGTGCGTGGTCACCCGGGGACTCCTAGAGGATGTGTGCGTGGTCACCCGGGACTCTAGAGGATGTGTGCGTGGTCACCCGGGACTCCTAGAGCATATGTGGTCACCCGGGACTCTAGAGGATGTATACGTGGTCACCCGGGACTCTAGAAGATGTGTACGTGGTCACCCGGGACTCCTAGAGTGTGTGCGTGGTCACCTGCGACTCTAGAGGATGTGTGCGTGGTCACCCGGGACTCCTAGAGCATATGTGGTCACCCGGGACTCTAGAGGATGCGTGCGTGGTCACCCGGGACTCTAGAGGATGTGTGCGTGGTCACCCGCGCCTCCTAGAGGATGTGTGCGTGGTCACCCGGGACTCCTAGAGCATATGTGGTCACCCGCGCCTCCTAGAGAATGTGTGCATGGTCACCCGCGACTCTGGAGGATGTGTGTGTGGCCACCCGGGACTCTGGAGGATGTGTGCGTGGTCACCCGGGACTCCTAGAGGATGTGTGCGTGGTCACCCGCGACTCTGGAGGATGCGTGCGTGGTCACCCGGGACTCTAGAGGATGCGTGCGTGGTCACCCGCGCCTCCTAGAGGATGTGTGCGTGGTCACCCGCGCCTCCTAGAGGATGCGTGCGTGGTCACCCGGGACTCTAGAGGATGTATGCGTGGTCACCCGGGACTCTAGAGGATGTGTGCGTGGTCACCCGCGCCTCCTAGAGGATGCGTGCGTGGTCACCCGGGACTCTAGAGGATGTGTGCGTGGTCACCCGGGACTCCTAGAGCATATGTGGTCACCCGCGACTCTAGAGGATGTATGCGTGGTCACCCGCGACTCTAGAGGATGCGTGCGTGGTCACCCGCGCCTCCTAGAGGATGTATGCGTGGTCACCTGGGACTCCTAGAGGATGTGTGCGTGGTCACCCGGGACTCTAGAGGATGTGTGTGTCAAGCAAGAGTCTTAGGGCATGTACGTGGGTCACCAGCCACTCTCAGAGCATGTGTGTGTCACGTGTGACTCCTATAGGCTGGGTATCAAGCACAGGTTCTTCATATTTGATGATGATGTTGGATTTTTTTTCTTTCACACAATCAAACCGGTATAGGGAATCAAAGGAAACCCAAATACATTATCCGGCACATTGCACCGTTCTGCCTCCAGTTGCTAACAAGAAAGGCTCACAATCAAATGCTTTTTGGGGATATTTTAAACGTAAAAGAATTGAAAGTTTTCTGAAACCTGGGAAGAAAGGCGAACACTTATTTTTATTTAGTTCAGGGACTTTTTAAAGGTCTAATTCATTTAGTTAGTTTACTTAGCTCATTCATTGATTTTGTTTGCTTGATTGAGACAGGCATGTGTCACCACAACTGGCTTTAGAAACTGTAAAACGTTTTAATTCAGAGTTTAATATTAAGTGGTATTTGTATAGGGAAGTTGCCTATGAAAAGTGTGTTTTGGACCTTGGCATGGTGGTATACCTCTTGCGGTATTTCCCTCTTAACTTTCTTTTCCCTTGTCTTACTCAGTCATTGCTTCAGTTCCTACCCATGTCTGGGGGCATTTTTGTCTTCATGGCCAGGTCAATAGGGTTCTTCGCTTCCGTCTGGAAGAGGCATGGCATGAAGGGGTGATGATAGGTTCTTCGCTTCCGTCTGGAAGAGGCATGGCATGAAGGGGTGATGATAGGTTCTTCGCTTCCGTCTGGAAGAGGCATGGCATGAAGGGGTGATGGGGCATGCCATATCTGCCTGCGTGGTGCTGCGTTTTGCCATGGGTTGGAAGGGTTCCGGCAACACTTGAGAGGTGGAGCTTAACCAAGGGCCTCGTTGCCATGTTAAGCTGGAAGCCAGTGTGCCTGACTGGCGATCTCCTTGGAGGAGTTGAGACGTAAAGACAACTTTGAAGAACAAGCCAGCTCTAGATGGGTAGACACCAGGGATGGGAATGGAGATGGGTAATGTTATAGATGACAAAAATGACAGCAGTCTGCAAAATGGAGGCCAGTGGGCAGAATAAGGAAACGCTCTTCTGTTAAAGAACCAAAGTGAACCAGGGATGATGGGTGCCACCTGTAATGCCAGCACTCCAGAGGCCGAGACAGGAGGAGAGTCCTGGGTCAGCCTGGGCTACTTAGAATCTCATCAGTGGGGGTGGGATAGTGAGAAGAATCAACCTTTGGAAAATCCTGATTAGAGTATTACAAGCTGATTTGCTATTCCTTGTTGGAGTTCCAGGCTGTTCTTAGACTGTTACCTCTCTACTGTCCTAACTCCTCACTGCTGAGAGCTGATTTCCTAACACACCTGAACCTGTGAGGGCTTTTAGAAGAGAAAGTTTCAGTGTATCTAAACTGTACCTTAGAGAAAACCAAACCATGGGCATTGACTCTGACATTGGGAAAGCCTCAAACTCCTACAAGTCAAGAGGGTTTAGCGTGACTATCAGACAATGTAAAATCCTGGGAAGAGGGTTTGGGTATGACTATCAGACAATGTAAAATCCTGGGAAGATTCTAGTAGCATTTACCTTCCAATCATCTAAGCAGTGTCTCTTAATAGCTTCTCCCTTATGGCTTAGACTCTTTTCTGATACTATAAGGGATTGTAATAGACTGGGTAACCATTCACCTCTTTAAGGCCCCATCTTGGTTACAACTGTAGCTGAATTTCAGCCCGGGTTAGGGTTAGGGTTAGGGTTAGGGTTAGGGTTAGGGTTGAGTTTATCAGTGCATCTCTCCAAGTGACTGTCACAGGATAAAGTTGGCCAGGGTCTTTCCAATGGTATGGATTCGCTGTACTGGAGCGCCGAACTCAGGGGAGAGCAGACCCAGCAGAAACCTGGCACCCAGCACTGAGCACGGCTGCTCAGAGAGAAAGAAGATGCAGCCCCTCTGCTCAGAGAGCTACGGGGAGGAGGCTCTCTGTGTAGGGCTGAGCCTCCTCTGACGAAGTCCAAGTAAGAGGCCTTTGACTTCTAAACCAGGGGTTGGGGGCGTGGCTCAGTCGGTAGGATGCTTGCCTAGATTCATGAAGTCCTGGGTTCTGTATCCAGCCCTGCGTAACACTGGGTTATGGTGTACACCTGTAATCTTAGCACCAGGGAAGTGGAGGCCGGATGATCAGGGTTCAAGGTGATCTTCAGCTACGTCGAAAGTTTGAGGCCAGCCTGGACTGTGAAAACCTATGAAAAAAGAAAACAAAAGACGTAAAAGAAAAAAAAAACAACCTTTTATATCAGTCTCAGAATTGTCTCTTTACAGCGAATTCGACTGTAAAGAATGTCACACAAATGCCAATACCATGGTCATCCTTACAGAGTAACAGAAGCAAGACATGGCAAAGCCATGCCTGCTCCCCTGGGAAGTGTGGTGTAGCTGCTTGTTTTCATAGGCAGCAGCATGGCTCACAGACCCACAGAGGACATTTGGACCAAGTTTCTCTGGTTTTTATCTCCATTTGCAACTACTCCCTATACCAAAGTAGGGCCATTCTTAAGGATAGAAAGATCACGTGGTGTGGGACCCAAGTCCGTGTGGCTTGGAGCAGGCTGTGAAGGACAAGCTCTCAAGATTCAGGTGGGATCCTGCCGCAGAGAAGAATGTCTGTGAGTCCCTGTAGCGTGTTGGTATCTTGTAGGGGTGAGCCCCAGTGCCCCTCAGCGAAAGTCCGTTGTAAATGGTTTGCGACTTTAGGAATCACACTTCAGCAGGCCATCTGGGGTTCACCTGTGGTTGGTTGTACGTCTTGTTGGCTGCCTTCTTCCCGTCTGTCTGTCCTCCTCAATGTTGTGTCATTAATACGCAGTGCTAAAAGGACTACATTGCATTGTAGATTATAATGGCCACCCCTGGAGAAGGCAGCCAGCCCGATGACGAAGGGGCAGCCCAGCCAGTGGTACAGCTGCAGCCGCTGGAGCCTCGGGTGGCCCGCAGACGCCTGTCCCAGGCCCGCCACCGAGCCACCCTGACAGGGCTCTTCAACAACCTAAGGAAGACAGTTTACTCCCAGTCTGATCTCACAGCCTCAAAGGTACAGGGACCTAGGGATGGGGGAGACATTTTTCCCCGTGGCGGGACTGCAGGGTGAGGTAAGGGCTGACCTAGAACCCTGATGCCTAGAGGCAGATTGCCAAAGCAGCCTGACATAAGAGGGAAATTATGGGATATGTGGTCACTTGATGGCTTTGCGTGTCCTGTTCATGGGCAGTGGCCAGCCTCCAACAGATGCTCCAGGACCCTGTACATCTATCTGCACACACACACACACACACACACACACACCACTGGCACGCATGTGTATGCTCAGTGTATCTGCACACATTGTGGGTTTTACATACCAACTGTTCCCCTGGGCTCTCCAGGTACATGCTGATGTTTTCTTACTCTCTTTGGTTTTTATTGATGCCGATGTTTGAGGCGGTCTCCATGAAGCTCAGGCTGGCCTAGAACTTTCCAGAGAACAGGCCAGCCTTGAAATCACCCCCCTCTTGCCTCCCCGGTGCTAGGATGACACAGGCATACACCACCCAGCTCTTTTTTTTCTCGGCTATCCTTTTAGCTGCTAATTAGCATTAATTAATTAGCTGGCAGAGATTAGAAAAGGGCCTGGTAGTTGGGGTGTGTTGACAGAAGAAAGCAAATTTATAACTATAGGAGTATTACAGGAGACCACGGGGGAGAGTCCTGAATTTCCTCGCCCTCTTGACAGAGGGGGAGGGGGAAGGATGGAGAGATGTGGGGGGGGGGGGGACTTGAGCACCTATAGAAGTAGAAGACAAGGCCAAAAAGAAGCTGTGTTCCCCCGCTCCAGGCCTAAGGCACTTCCCACATCTCTCTGAACTCTCTGAAATCCTGTACCTATTCCCAGCTAGTTGGCTCCCCTCCAGGGATGGTACCTTCAGCAAAGCAGCCGCTATGAAGTGTTCATAGAATTCCCAGAGGACTCTCATTTGGGGATCAGGGTAGGGGGACAACACAGAAAAGTTCCTGAGCAGGTCCAGGCCTCTGGGGAAATTTTCAAAAGGTGGCATGCCACCTGACCGTCTTGTTTAAGGCTCTGACTGGCACATGGACCGTTGTCGGCTTCAGGAATCTCACAGAGACCTCATCTGCCCTTGGAGAAGGGTGGGGTCCTCAGGGTGCAGGCATGGGCTCTCCCCAGCCATAGCTGTGCCCCACACCCATTGAATAAAGACAAACTCACTTGTGCTTCTGAAGGCCATAGAAACCTAAAGTCCCCGTCAATGACCAGTGGAGAAGAGTTCACAGACTAGCAGGACGGGCAAACAGAAAACAGGCACCCGGGGCCTTGCTGGATGCCTTACAGTGTAAGGGCTGTGGCTAAGTTTGGAGAAAACCCATATGAGCCCCCAAACTTTGGACTTCACGCTTTAGCGGCAGGTAAGAGCATGGCTCTTGACTAGTCTGAGTGAGTGGGAGGCAAGTCACTTCTGGCCTTCAGTTCCCACATCTGCTAAACAAGGGAATGCTAATGGCTTCCTCGAAGGTCTTGATGGGTTTTCCAAGACCCACAAGAATCGATGAGCAGGGCCGTCAGACGTCATACTGCTGCCTCCCAGGATGCTGAGTTATTCATTCCCCGAATCTGCGCTCACATGGCTCACATTTCACAGACCAGGAGGGAGACCGAGGCTCAGAAAAGGTAAATTGTCTGCGTTGAACGGCTCGGCCACAAGTGCCAGGCGTCTGCTGTTTTCTCTCCTTCTTGGTTACTGGAGGGGACAGTCCGGGCTTCTACATGGTGAAAGTCGCTCTGTGAGAGTGATGTGTGATCCTGTCTTCTTAGTTCTCCAAGGCTGCCACAGCAAGAAGGCAGGCGTGGGGTGTGGGGGGTGTAAAGAGAAGCTTTTTCCTTGAGAGGAGCCTTCCCGCCAGCCTGGTTCCAGAGCCGCATCAGTCCCAAATAAACACACAGGAGGCTATATTCATTATGAAGCTGTTGGCCTTGCTTGTTTCTTACTGGCTAGCTCTGACTTAAGTATTTACCCCATAATTGTTAATCTAAGTATGTCTCTTACTGGAGAAGTTTCCGGGCTTCCTACCCCATGGCGTTACATCTCGACTCTCTGTGTTTCTCCTTCCCAGAGTCCTCCTGGACTCCTAGTCCCACCTATCTTGGTTCCCTATTGGCCAACAGTGCTTTATTGACAAATACACAGGACTTCCCCCATCATCTCCTCTTTTCTGTCTAAACAAAAAGAAAGGTCTTAACTTTAACATAGTCAAATTATATATAACAGAACAGTTATCAAGTAAGAACACAGTTAAAATATTTTGTTTATCAACATTTAGCAAGATTTAAAGAAAATATCATGCATCCCATCCTTGTGAGTCCAAAGTTCTATATGTAGCTTATCTTTTATCATAACTAAGGAAATCTATAATTATCTGTCTTCAACTCTATCAAAGACCACAGAAGGATAATATATAAACACTAGAATTGACAGACATTTTGCTACCTGTACAGTCACCTGAAGTTCCTCTGTATTATTTGGGCATCCATCTTTAGCCCATAGGCCACAATGTGTCTGGAACATTTCTCAGCAAAGCAGGAAATTTCTAACTGTCCATCTGCATCAGCAGTCTGTCAGTCATTTTTCTGTGTCCTGCAGAGAGTCTCGTAGACTCTTCCATGAATCAGGAACCCTGAAGAACTATTTGAGTTCAGCAGTCACTTTCCTGTGGGTCCTGCATATACAGTTTATACAGCAACAGTCAAGGAGTCCAGACAAGAGCAGTTTCTTGCCCAAATGGCTAATCTTGCCATGTTGAAAGCAAACTCCATAATGAGTTTCTTTGATGCCCATCTTCCTCTCAGACGTAATTTGTGCTGCCAGGAGCAGACATTTCTCATTGTCAAGAAAAACTCTAAACCATTTTAAATGCCATTTTCTGAAGGTCTTTGAAAGGTTTGAAGACTATCTATCTCAAATATATCTCTGTATACCTAGAAAACCTAACTTGCCTAACTATAAGTTCTGGCTATTATAAGTAACTATCTATAGTCTGTATTGAATTATGCATTATGTTTTAAAAGATCAGTATAAGCACAATACTTAATCAAGAGGAGAAATATACATATCACAAAATTGAACTTGAATTTGTATCAATAAATGAAAAAACATACCAATACAAAGTATTCATTTCCATACCATAATCCCCTTTTTCCTTTAAAAAGAGATTGGTTGTGATCATTAACCAATTATAAACAACCCCATTTAAATGAAAACAAAGATTTATAAACAAGATAGGAATTAGGACGTCGCTCATTCCAAACTGCTTCATGCTGGAAGGGGGCGCTGTTCATACCATGGGGATCATGACAAAACTCAGAAACCTGTGTAAGTCCTTAGTTTCAGGGTCTGTAAGACTGCATCATCTTAGCTGTTTCAGTTGTTGGAACACCTGGTCCACTGCTTCCGGGGGTCTTGGTTCATCAAACCACAGAAGCCCGGAAGGAATCCTCAGATTTTCATTTTCTGTAGAAACAAACAAAAACTCCTTTTCCAAGTAACATATCCTTATACTTAAATTTTGAAGTCAAGGCATTTTCAAAAGATATAAGCTGAATTAATTTAGCAGCATTTATAATCAAGTGTACTTTAGCAGTTGTTCCTTCCTGAGCAATCAAAAAACTGCAAAACACAACAGCATACAGTATCTAGACTCTGTGTATTTTCCATCTTTACGTGGCTTATTTATTTATCTATTATTACTTTATTTCTTTTCCTTTTATTTATTTTTCTCTGAGACAGGGTTTCTCTTTGGAAATCTGCCTCCCTCTGTCTCTGGAGTAAATTCTACCGGCGTCTGCCACCCCAACCGGCTTCTCAATTTTTATTTACCACTATGTCAGTTTTTTTTCTCTCTCAATCTTATATATATATATATTTTTTGGTTTTACGAGGCAAGGTTTCTCTGTATTGTTTCGGAGGCTATCGGTCCAGCCTGGCCTCGAACTCACAGCGATTTGCCTGCCTCTGCCTCCCGAGTGCTGGGATTAAAGGCGTGCGCCACCACCGCCCAGCCTCTTATGTATATTTTTAAACACACTGTAAACCTTTAGAAGTTTTTCTTCATCCAAGTCTGACTTTACTGTAAATCTTTACATTTTTCTGGCCACGTGTCTTATCTGTTAAAACCGCGGCTGTTTAAACTGACGGTTTTCCAAGATGGCAGGCGTAAGCGTGACTCCAGCTGCCGGCTTGGAAATGTGGTCACTGCCACTTCCAGCTGTACGTATAACTTTTAAATCATTAGCAGAGCCTCTTAAAATAACCTTGCTGTTTTTTTGTTTTGTTTTGTTTTATGCTTAGTCAGGAAGCCTCACTTAAGCGAGCCGCGTGAGTCTTTGCTTGCCACTAGCAAAACAGAGCCCACCTGAGAAAAATGCTGCTACCAAAAAGCTCATGCTTTTCTCCGTCTTTTGTCTCTAAAATTCCCTTAAATCTTTTGTCGTTCTACATGGAAATTCATCATCCCATTTCTAACACCATTATGTAAAGAGAAGCCTTTCCTTCAGAGAAGCCTTCCTGCCAGCCTGGTTCTAGAGCCGCATCAGTCCCAAATAAACACACAGGAAGCTATATTCATTATGAAGCTGTTGACTTTGCTTGTTTCTTACTGGCTAGCTCTGACTTAAGTAATTACCCCATAATTGTTAATCTAAGTATGTCTCTTACCGGAGAAGTTTCCGGGCTTCCTACCCCATGGCGTTACATCTCGACTCTCTGTGTTTCTCCTTCCTAGAGTCCTCCTGGACTCCTAGTCCCACCTATCTTGGTTCCCTATTGGCCAATAATGCTTTATTGACAAATACCCAGGACTTCCCCCATCAGGGGGGTGCTTCTAGAGGCTGGGGAATCCAAGGCCAGGGTTCCCCTCCCTCTGACAGCCTCGAGGGACGATCGTGTATGTCTCCGTTGGGCTCTGGCATCTTCCAACAACTCCTGCCACTCCTGACTTGCAGGGGCGGCTCCACTCCGGTCACACACTGGTGCCTCGCTGCCTTCATGTCACCTTCTCCCTGTAACTCTGTTCTATCTCTGCCCGTGTTTCTCCTCCCCATAAACGCATCAATCATACTGAATCGGGCACCGGTCCAAAGGCTCCGTTTTAACATGGCTGCCCTACCCCCCCCCATCAAATAAATAAATACGTTACCGTCACAGCTGCCAGAAGTAGGGACCTCAGCATATCTTTTGCTTTGTCGTGGTGGGATTTGGGGGGGAGGGGTAGGTAATTCAATCCGAACAAATGTTCTAAGAACGTGGGCCTACCAAAAGCATTCTAAAGGGCAGGAGAGAGCCCAGCAGGCAAAGTTGCGTGCCATCAAGCCAGATGACCTGAGTTCAATCCCAAGAACCCACACAGTGGAATGAGAGAAGAACCCCCTGGAGGCTGTTCTGTCGCCTCTGCACAGGCATTGTGGCATATCCCCGTCATAAGGTCAATGTTTAAACAATAGAAATGAGGGGGCTGGAGAGATGGTTGAGCCGTGAAGAGCACCGGCTGCTCCTCTAGGGGACCCAGGTTCAATTCCCAGCACCCACCCAGTTCCAGGGCTTCTGAGACCCTGACACAGACATGCGTGCAGGCAAAACACAGATGCACATAAAATAAAGGTAAATTACATATTTAAAAAGTAAAAATGAAGCCAGGCGGTGGTGGCTCACGCCTTTAATCCCAGCACTCGGGAGGCAGAGGCAGGCGGATCTCTGTGAGTTCGAGGCCAGCCTGGTCTACAAGAGCAAATTCCAGGACAGCCTCCAAAGCTACAGAGAAACCCTGTCTCGGGGAAAAAAAAAGAAATGAAAAAATACTCTGGAAGAAATATCAATACGTCTGGGTGTGTCTCAGGTGGCAGAGTGTCTATGTAGCGTGTACCATCTCCAGCATTATAAAACCAGGCATGGCGGTGCACACCTGTAAGTTCAGCATGCTGGGAGAAACAGAAGTTTGAGGTCATCCTTGGATACACAATATGTTTGAGTTTGCCCTGGGCTACATGAGACCCAGCCTCAAAGACAGATAAGAAATCAGGGCAAGGGACAGGCTGAGGTCCAGCTGAGCCAAGACAGCCTACTAGCTCTGGACAAAAATGCCAGTGTCACAGACTTTTGTAGCTGCTATGACCAAACATCATATCCTGGGAAATGTATAAACCACAGAAATGCATTGCCCACAGCCCTGGAGGATAGCCAGGCTGTCTGAGTTCAAGGTGCCAGCAGATTCATTGTCTGCTTCATTTAAAGTTCAATCCAGCCATACCCTCACTTGGAAGAAGTGAACAAGCTCTCTTGGGCCTCGTATCTTGGGGTTCTAGTCTCATGCATGCAGTGTCTGCTCTCATGACAATCACCTCAAAACTGCTACCCTTAGATATCTTCAAATGAGGGTTAGATTTAACATCCGTATCAGGAAAAACACAAATGTTTAGACCACAGTAGCCAGAGCACCATCTTGTCCTAAGAGCAAGCCAAGATTCTGACCAGAGTGGCCTTGAGTTTATAGTGCTTTGGCAGACAGTCCATGAATCCCAGGACAAGGACAGTGAGGTGTATAGGACAAAAGGAGGGAAGAAGGGGAAACCTCTGAGTTCAAATTCACAGAACATTTGCCATTTGTAGATTACATGAAATATGCTTAGATCATACAAAAAGTAATTATTTCATTTGTCCTTTTTTTTTAAAAAAAATAGGGCCTCATGTATCCTAAGCTGGCCTTGAACTCACTGTGCAACTGACTTTGAGCTCCTGGTATCCTCCTGGCTGTACTTACAGAGTTCTGGGGTGACAGCCATGTGCCACCATGCCCAGCCATATGCAGTGTATGACTTTAGCAAACTGACATTTCGAGGAAAGGATATTGAGTTGCTCATGGCCCCACGACTTGAGCAGCAGTCTGGTGACCTGTGTGCCAGCCTGAGGCCGGCATGCAGCCTGCTGAGCCGCCTTCCCAGTGTCCCACCTGCGAGCAGCCCACGCAAACATCCATCACTCCACAGTCACGCAGCTGTTTTCTGCACACAACTTGTTTCCAAATACTCTGTCTTTCAGTGGGCATCCGTTTGTAGAACACAAACGCACCTCAGCGCCTCCTGTGCGTTGGGGTAAACCTCCTGTCTGCTCCACAGACAAGGCCAAGGATGGCACTTGGCATTGAGGGAGTGTGGTCTCGGACTGAGAAGGGGCTTCCTGGGTCTGGGAGAGAAAATTGTCCCTGCCGTGAAGAAAGGCTGCCTTTTCATCCACAATGTCTGTGTCCTCAGTGGCAGGTACTGAACAAGACGAAGGTCCACATCCAGGAACTGGAGCAAACCCTGGATAATTTGCTGAAGCTCAAAGGTAAGAGCCCCCTCCCCAGAGGAAGCCTGGCTCAGGCTTGCCATTGAGGGCAGAGGTGGGCTTGCACGGCATCGGCAGATTCAAGTGTTAGGAACACACGGTGTATCAGGCACTGTGCTTGGGCCGTAACTGGCCCCTGTCCCAGGGAACTTGTAGCCTGGAAGCGTGGGCAGGGGTCCCCAGGCTGGGTGGGTTTGATGAGTTCCCTCATAGGACACTGCTGAAGGCACCTGACTGAGCTTCACCTGAGCTTACCCTCGTGTCTTCGGGGAGAAGCGGAAAGGGACTCTGCACTCGGAAACCTGGGAGGGTCAGGGTTTCCCATGCCCACTCCATAAGCTCCCCGAACCAGACAGGCATGAGACACCCAAAGGGGCTGATTTTTCTCTTTATGACTCTTGCCCTCGCCTCCCTGATAGGATCCTTCAACCTGGAGGACGGGAATGCCAGCAGCCTAGAGGAGGCCAAGGAGGAATACGCCAAAATGTACTCTGAGGAGGACAGGTAAGACCTGGCAGGCACCAGGAGGAGGGAGCTGGTTGTCTTCCCCTGGAAGCCTTCGATGCTGAGGTACAGCGGCCTACAGTAAGCACGGCCATGAGGCTGCTGCTCACCTACTACAGCTGTCTCATTCTGGGGAGAACTCTGTTCTCCTTTATCTTAATAATGTGGTTTAGATCTCCTTCCCAAATGATCCATGCTTATTAGAAAAACATAGAAAAGCATGAAACTGTACCATCTCACCCCTCAAAGGAAGGCCATGTTAACTCTGAAGGCTGTCCATCCACGTGGCATTTTTAAATTTTCCACACTACTTTAGAGAAATGAGATCATGGAGTTTACCCATATATCTCGATTGTGTGTATGTGATATTATTTATATTAGTTGATATGTAGCAATTAATAGCTTTATTTACAGAATGCCAATCCTGGCCTTTTTCAAATCGTGTGGAAATGCAGGCCAAATTAGAGTCAGAGCAGCCACGGTGTTTTGGGGGAAAGATGGGTGTCAGAGATGTGAAGGGGTCTTAGCTGGGGTCACAGTCAAACTTGAGCAGGGAGACTGGCTTGAGGGATGTCTTTCTCCTGCTTTTGTCCCATCCTCATCACCGTGACTCGGATCCCAGAGATGACAACTCCAAGGGGGAAGCGTTTCTTTCGCCCGTGTTTGTAGAGAGCTCGGTCTATGGTTGTTTGAACAGGACATCATGGCAGCAGGAACGTGTGCAAGGGGAAGACAGAAGCAAAAAGAGGGATAAGAAGGGGCCATGGACAAGACGTCCCCAACGCCCCACCCCAGTGGCCTGCTCCCTCCAGACAGGCCCGACAATCTTATGTTCCCAGGTCTCCCAAATAGTATCACCAACAGAGACCAAGCCCTCAACCCATGAGACTTTCTGGGAGACAAGGGAGGGGAACTTCATACCCCAAGCACAACAGAAGTCAAGTTTTGCATTTGAACTTGTGCTTCTCATGCACATTGTCTAGGTACAGTCTCTGCTCTGCATTGATGTTAAAATATGACACAGTGCCCTTTCCCGTGCATGGAACCCACAGGCTCCAGAGTGGTTCTGACTCCATCTTAGACTTGAGGGGCAACCATCAGGCCGTGTTATCTCCAGTGGCCCTATGGCATGTCCATCTCCAACGGCATGTTATAGGTCCAGGTTGGCCTCTGATGAGTGCAAGTCATGTTAACCCATCCCAGAGAGGGCTATAAGCCACTTGCTGTTACAGCCTACCAAAATCTTCCCCTTGAAGTATTGTTGCTTAGGGCTTTCTTGTTTGTTTGTTTGTTTGTTTTTTGGTGTGTACACTTAGAAGCTTTATTTTCTTCTTCGTACTTTTTCCCTCTAGTTTCCAAAATTTTATTTTATTTCTTAAGTCAAAAGCCTGATTTTTTTTTTTAGTTTTATGTGTTTGGGTATTTTGCCTGCATGTATGTCTGTGTACCTTGTGCATTCAGTGAACCCAGAGACTAGGTGCTCGATCCCCAGGACTGTAGTTATAGATGGTTATGAGCTGCCATGTGGGTGTTGAGAGTTGAACCTGGGTCCTTTGGAAGAGCAACCAGTGCTCTTACACACTGAGCCATCTCTCCAGTCCTGCTTTCCAAATTTTTTGTTTTTTGTTTTGTTTTTTTCGAGACAAGGTTTCTCTGTGGCTTTGGAGTCTGTCCTGGAGCTAGCTCTTGTTGACCAGGCTGGTCTCAAACTCACAGAGATCTGCCTGCCTCTGCCTCCCGAGTGCTGGGATTAAAGGCGTGTGCCACCACCACCTGACTCTGTTTTCCAAATTTTTAACAATGAATGTGTATTATAGACTGTGGGATATAATTAGTAAGTATATGTCCTTGGATAAATTAATATTTAATATTAATTAAATTCAGGGTTATATACTTACTACACCATGTGAAGACCTTAAAAAGAAGAAAGAAATCACCTCCAATCTTCCTCCACACAGGCTTAATCACTTTCTTGTCCTCAGAGGAAGGAGATAAGCATGCGAGTTTTCCTCTATACCCAGTAGATATGGTAAATTGGCTGAATTTCAAATGATACACCCTCCATTTTGTATTCCTAAGGTCTACTGGGTCATTGTCTGTATAGTTGGATTACGTAGTTAGTAAAACTGTATTATGAATTTCTGTGTCTGTGTTCACTGGCGATATTGGCCTAGCACTCTGGTGTTCTCCCCCAGCGTCCTCCTCAACAGCTTTCCTCAGAACAGCTCCCCGCCATGGTTCCCCCCTGAGGCTGTTGGGAAGGATGCCGAGGAAGGAGGAGATGATGAAGAGAGAGAGGAGGAGGGGAAGCAGGAGGAGGAGGAAGAAGAGGAGGAGGAGAAAAAAGCCGATCTCTCACACTCCCCTACGACCCAGTTGCCTGACCTCCTGGAGTTTGAACAGTGAGCACAATGGGGAGGGCTGGGTTACTGACCAGGGAGATTCTGTGGGGAGGGGACAGGCACTCCGGCTGGCCTGTGTGGTGGCCTCCAAGTATGCGTGATCCAGACCAGGTCCCAAATCACCTAGCTCCATGGTCTGCGTGTGGGAAGCACCCCAGGATGATTAGCCAAGGGGCTGGGCAAACACTGTTGAGTTACATTTGTGTAGAAAATCCATTGTTTTTATTTAGAGTGGGCACTTACTGGGGGTCAGTGGGAAATGAGCATGCCGATGTTGACTTCCTGTGTTCACCCCGCTTTCTACCGCATGCGCCCCTCAGAAGTCTCCTTTTGGAGGCCGGGAACCAGGGCACATCCGCACTTAGAGAAAGGGGTGACTGGCTCGTTCAGACTCCTAATGCCTCCTCCACAGACTTCAGACCCTCCAGCAGCCATGTTGGCAGGGACTGGAGACAAAGAGATCCACTCCACAGCTGAGTCTTTCAAGCCCAAAACTGAAGGAGTGTAGCGGGCCAGCTACTTCACAGCCTCAGAATGTTCCACAGTGGAGGGAGTTAATGCAGCCGCATCATTCCACGAGGCAGGGAGCTTCAGGAGCAGAAGAAATTGGAGAGGCATAAATGTGTGTTCTCCTGGGCCCTCAAGATGACTTCTGCATTCCTGGGGCCAGGCAAAGGCAGAGACAAAGTCACGCTGTTGGTAAACCGAGGAATGGTAGCCACGAGTGTGAGCTGTTGCTTGATCATAAGGAGCTGGCTACAGGTCTGAGGGACACACCACTTCTGTTCCAGGTACCTCAACTTCTACAAGCAGATGATGGACCTCCTGACCATGAACGGCATCATCTCCCCCCAGGAAGAGATAATCCCCATCGTCTCTGCCGCCGTCTCCCACCTGTGGCAGACCCTCTCTGAGGAGAAGAAAGCCTGTCTCCTGCAGGTGTGGGAGCAGCAGAGCGCCACCTTCTCAGACCTCGCAGAGGCCTGTCTAGAGCTGGCCTGTGTGGAGGACAGCGTGAAGGACAGCGGGGTGGACAGCCAAGGGGCCAGCTGCTCGCTGGGCTCTACTCCAGAAGAGGTGATTAGACCTGTGGGGCGGTCCTCTCTGCCTTGACTTTTTTTTTTTTTGAAAGATTTATTATGTGTACAGTGTTCTGTCTGCAGGCCAGAAGAGGCACCAGATCTCATTATAGATGGCTGTGAGCCTCCAGGTGGGTGCTGGGGATTGAACTCGGGACCTCTGGAAGAGCAGCCAGTGCTCTTAACCTCTGAGCCACCTCTCCAGCCCCAGCCTTGACAATGCCCCTCAGTGGGTGACTCATGAGAGGGCTTTGTATGTGTGAGGACAGCCTGCCGTGTGTGGACTAATTATAAGAGGTTAGCTGGGGGCTAACTATCTGGGCTCTCTACCTCAGATCTGTGGGAAGGAAAAGCACGTTGATAGACACAGAAGCCCAGGCCTTTCCATGGCCCCTTCCTGATTGCCTTTGAAGTGACATCAGGGATGTCATAGAAGACACCAAAAGTGTCCAGAAAACTAGCTAGATGGTCAAAGTCTCAAAGGCATATGTTCCGGGGGACAAATTGAGTAAGACTGTAGAGCAGATGCTTGCCCTCTGGGAAGGAATTGCATATACTGAGTAGGGGTGAGAGCCCCTGACAGACCAGTGAACCCCTCAGAGTGGCTGCCGTGTAAGTGGGCACTGGAGAAAATTTTGGAAGCATGTCCATTCACACTTTTCAGTCAAGTATGTCTCCTGCGGTGTTTGGAGCCTTCTTATGCCAAACCCAGAGTATTAAATCTTCTAATCTGTAATTCAGAATTTACCCCAGCACCCCATATTTTCATTTGCTAGGTCTCCTGATCTGAAGTGAGAATCACACTTGCTTGAACACTTAATAATCTGTTTGAACACAAATTCAGGAAAAGCAGTACCAAAAGCAATACAAAAACAAGGTTCTACGTTGGAAGTGTATTCTCACATCATTAATCATTGTAACTTTTGTCTTATAACACAGGAAGGAAGGGACTGCAGAGAAATAGGTCCGTGTGTCAGCAATGAGTATCTCCGGTGGGATATTACTCAGTGATTCTTAGTTCACCTGTTCCTGATTCAGAACCCCCAGTGTTCATGAGGTTCTTTTATGAAGCAGACAACCTTTAATGCCTTCAAAGTATTTGAGTTTCACATAATACATGCATGCATGCACACACACATACATGCATGCACACATGCATGCACACTTCTTGCAGCAGCTCCACAGCTGCACTGTTGGTGCCATTGTAGAATCCCCTGAACCTGGGAAATTAACAACAAATCAGTTGGCTCATAGTTCTGGGGGCTGAGAAAGCCACACTCCCTGTGCCTACATCTTTCTAGGTTCTTCTTGCTTTGTCTTCACATTAGAGGGGAGGGGAGGAGGAAGGAGGGGGGATTTTGTTATTTTATCCTTAATTATGAAAGCGTGCGTGCGTGCGTGCGTGTGTGTGTGTGCCCACATGAGTACAGGTGCCTACAGAGTTGAAAAGGCATCAGAGTCCCCTGGAGCTGGTGCAGAGTCAGTCATGAACTGCCCGCTGGGTCCTTTGCAAGAGCCCTGTGTCTTCTTAGCCACTGAGGCATCTCTACAGCCCCTAAAGCCCCAGTCAAAGATATGCAGAGTTTTGCAATGCACAAGCAGATGCAACTTGATTATAAAAGAGAGCTTGAGAGAAGTACCTTGCTGAGCTTGGCCGTGACCGGCCTTGGTAAAGCTGTCCCACAGAGTCACCTTGTATCAGCTTCCCAGGATGAGATGGAGGTTGTGTATCGTGGACTTGGATAGATCTCCACCTGGGGAGGTTTGGATGACCAGATGGGCCTTCCCTGGCTGTACATTGACTGTTGCCTCTCATGTCTGAGTTGTGCCAATTTTTTTAGAGAGGAGAGGGTAGTGGTCCCCAGTCCTTTCTCCCCCCCTCAGTCACTCCCTGGGAAGGTCACTGAGCAGAAACCCTGAGTTTGCGGCTAGGTTTGACACGCGTGTGCTTTGGGTGGACAGGTTGCTAAGAAACAGCCTGTGAGCTGCTCTTGGCCCAGCAGCTCCAGCATGCAGCAGACCACAGTGACGGTCAGGACACGGGTGATGGCGGTGCTTTCTTTCAGGTTCTTTTTTGAAGATGCTTTCGATGTGGCAAGTTTCCTGGACAAGAGTGAGGGTCAGCAAATGTCTAACATCAGGTGAGGAAGGTGGTACGGGAAAGCTTGTGCATACGTACGTGGGCGTGAGCGTACAGCTGGGTGAGTGTGTGGTATACATGTGTACATACGTGGAGTTGTATGAGTGTGTGTATAGGTGTGACACTGTTAGCTTGAGTGTGTGTGCGTGTGTGTGGGTGGGTGGGTGGGCACAAATGAGTGCCTCATTCCTGAGGTGTTTGCAGCTACTCTTCTCTATCCTACAGACAGACACATGACCCCCAGAGGAGGAAACTCACCCTCCCTGGCCCGCGCCTGGCACAAACCCAGTTAGCGGCTCAGGTTCTAAGAGCGTGCCTCTTACTTGCCTGCTTTGTCCATGTGTCTTGGCCCTGCTTGTTCCCGCTCTGGACAGTCACAGCCTCACTGCTGGTCCATCCTTACACAACATACCTTAGAAACAACTGACTTTTGTCGCTCAAGGTTCTGGAGGTTGGACATCAAGGTCAAGGCCAAGGCAAAGCCTGGAGAAGGCCATTTCCCTGTGGATGTCACCTTCTCTGTGTAAACAGATCTCCCTAAGGCCTCTTTTTGATATCCTCCCATCATTCTGGGGGTCAGGTGTCAGAATATAAATCTGGGGGGGATGCTGACCTTTGGTCTAGGAGGCAGGCGATGACAGTCAATCTTGCAGAAATGGGGCCCAGAGAACTGGCCCAGCTTTAAGTTGAAGGGATCTCCAGGCTGTGCAGAGGGACTGGTAGAAACAGAAGGAGGAGTAGAGGAAAAGATGCCCACGCCATGGTGAGAAGATGGGAAATGGGGATTGGGATCTGGAAAGGTTTAAAGCAAGAAGCATCTTGACTCCACCTGGACTAAGGGGGCTTTTCCCAGAGTGGCATGGTCCAGAACGGGAGGTCTGCAGTGGCTGTTTGAGAAGCTGTGGTCGTGGCTGGTGTCTTGGCTGAAAATATGCCTGGCATGTAAGTTGTTTCCATGGGACGGAGGGACAGCCATATCCCTGTGATCAGAGTGAATGGTCTTCCCAGTGGCAGCCTGGGCTGCAAGGAGTCCTAGGAGCCATGGCCTCGGTGGCTTCCAGCAGAGCTTCAGGCTGCCTGAACACCCACCTTGGCTCTTCCGTTCCGCCTCCCTCACCCAGGTCTCACCGGCTTGGGGGCTGCCAGGAGGCTACCCGATGTGAGAACTTTCCACCTGTGTGGGGAGCAGCATTTTGCTGAAAATGGCTAGAACCCGACATTCCTACTTCTGCACTGGGGTTTGGGTTGTAAAAACAACTTTGTCAAGAAGTCTCTAGAGTACACTTGTCAAGCAGTGTTAGGAAGTCCTCGTTCCGCTGAAAAGACAGAACAAAACAAACAAACAAAAAACACCTATTAAAATGTCTTTTCCCGCCTTCCATAGAAAAGGATTCCTGGGCTAACTGGAACATCCTTCCAGGAAGAAGTGAGGGCAGGTCTGTCCTGTGACACCCACAGCCTTGCTTCTAGAAGGCACCGTTGCACAGGGTTGCTCCTAAAGACACAGAGGAAGAGGCCCACTAAACAGAACTACTGTTTCCTCAAAGCTGAGAACCACGGGGAAAGCACTGAGTGGGGACCACTCCCGGGCGGAACTCACATTGTGAACACCCCAAGCTGCTTCAGATGAATCCAGAACCACAAGCTCTGCTGCAGGAGACTGACCGAGAGCAAGAAGGCTCTCATCCCTTCACTCAGGAGGTCACAGCTTAGAACCCTACATTAAGACCCAAGGGGCACGCTTGCTATGGTCACTTTCCAGGCCTTCCAGATAACGGCATATCAGTGAAGCAGTACACACTTTCCAGGAGCAAGCCTGGGCTACTTGAGAATTCAGCAGGCTCCTTAAAGATTGCACAGCGAGCCGGTGTTTGGGGCATGGGTGAAAGGTTAGGATTCTAATGGCTTCTGTTTCCTCTGCTGTCAGCTCTGTGTTTGCGAACTGCAACCCAGAAAATCTGGAGGAGAAATTTCAGCTCTACATGCAGATCATCGAGTTCTTTAAAGGCCTTTGCTGTACTAACACTCCGCTGAGCCAGGTAAGATAGAGTGGGGACATCGAGACCTCTGCCTGACACCTTTAAGATAGAAAAGAAGGTCCTTTAGCAGGGAGGGCTCTCTAGCCCACCCTGACTACAACACCCCAGGGGGCTTTCAGGCTCTGTTCACTCCAAGGCTGTTCCCCTTCAGTCCAGTGTCTCTGGCACAGAGGGTTTACCAGGGACCTGGAGGAAGAGGCAGAGGAATGTCCTCCATGGCACAGCTGTGATTGGTTCTTTTTTCCTCTTGACTCTTGGGGGGCCACCACTCAGCTCCCAGATAGTCACACAGAGGCTTATGAATTCCTTATAAATTCCTGTCCTTAGCTTGGCTTGTTTCCAGCCAGCCTTCCTTAAATTATCCTGTCTACCTTTTGCCTCTAGACTTTTCTCCGTCTCTGTTCTATATACCTCTTTTACCTTTTACTCTGTGGCCTTGCTGTGTAGCTGGGTGGCTGCCGCTGACATCCTCTTCTCCTTCTTCTTTTCTCACTCCTTGATCTCTTCCCAGACTTCTCCTGCTTTTTATTCTCTGCCTGGCAGCCCCACCTATTCCTCCCTCCTGCCTGGCTATTGGCCGTTCAGCTCTTTATTAGATCAATCAGATGTTTTAGACAGGCCAAGTAACACAGCTTCACAGAGTTAAACCGATGCAACATAAACAAATGCAACACATCTTTGCACTGTTAAACAAATGTTCCACGGGGTAAACAAATGTGACACATCTTCAACTAATACTCCACAACACAGATCTGCACACAAGTCCTCTGAAGTGGGGCCAGCTCCCGGCAGTCACCCACGGGAACTGTGTAAAGTGTTTTAGTGTTCTGTGACGCCAGCAGTGTCTCGGCTCATCCTTTGAAGGCTAACTTCTCTCCAGAAGGCCGATGTTATAACTGACGGTGACATATGTCACGGGAATCTTGGTTAGTGGGCCACTCCTGAAACTCTCCTGGGGGAAGGAGGTTGTGTCTATACCACCGGGAGACAGGCCGTTCAGATGCACTGCCATGAGTTTTCTTGGCTAAGCAAGCAAGATAGAGCTGTTTGTTTAAAGCAGCAATGGAACAGCAAATCTTCAACGAGGGCGCTTCAACTGACGCGTTCTTTGTCCTGTTTCTCCCTAGCGCCTCATTTTCCCGTGCTCAGGCCGCTTTCAGCCCCCGCTTGGGGCCAGTGTCTGTCCCTGCAGCCCACCCCACTTCCCACCAGACCTCCAGTGCCCGTCCATAGCAACTGCCCCACTCTCTGTTGATGTGGTTAGATGAGTACCTTTTGCCAAGAGCTTAAGAACAGATTCAACCTACATGGAAGAAGCAAAACACAGAGATTAGGAGTCCGCACTAGGCAGAGTGCCTGAACTTCACCCCATCCAGGAATCGCCTTGGGGTCCCATTAAGCCACCCAGGTTCCTGGTGCCGCAGGGTCCTTGTTCGGCGTTCTGAGGACGGGACCTTAGAAGCGGTGTTGCGGGGAGGCCCTGTGGATAGACTGGTGTGTAAAGGGAAATTTCCTTCTCTTCCAAGCGGCACCTCCAGCTCTCGGCTGCCCCTGTCACCTTCGTGGGAGGGTGTGAATGAAGCTCTGTCTGCCTCCCGCTGCGTTCTCTAAAGAGTGGCTTAGAACGGCAGATTCGCACCATAGTTCTGACAGCCAGAAGTCTGAAATGAAGCCCTAGCAGGGCTGGCCTGCTTCTGGAAGCTCTGGTGGCGAGTCCTCCTGCGCCTGGATCCAACTTCTGATGGTTCTGACAGCCCTCAGCTTCTCTAGAGCGGGGCGGGGTGGGCGTTTGCAGAGCTCAAATCCCGCATCTAGGTATCACCCTTGGGACTGGGGGTTGAGTCTCCTCAGACGGTTGACTGGTACCGGAGCCAGAAGGACCAGCCCTGATCTACAGGGTTACCAAATGGCAGGAGTCGTTTTCTGCATGGCAGAGAGAAGGAAATCAAAATCCCTGGAATGAAATTTAAAGGAGGAGACAGTAGAGAGTTCTGAGAGGTTGCCTGGCATCTTGGCAAAGAATGAGAAGCTTTTGCTAAACACAGTATTCTTTCTTTTTTTTTTAAGTGTTTTTTTATAGTAGGTAGCATATCTACATGTTATAAAATTCAAAACTTATCAAAAGATGGTCAGTAAAATCTTTTTTATTGTATTTTTTTAAATTTAAATTTAGATTAGAAACAAGGTTGCTTCACAAGTCAGTTCCAAGTCCCTCTCCGTTTCCCTCCCGGTCAATAAAATCTTAATCTCTCCAACTGACCCAAGTTAAAGGGAGCTCACAGACTAAGGACTGACAGCTGGGGAACCTGCATGGGCCCAAACTAGACCCTCTGAATGTGGGTGACAGTTATGAGATTTGATCTGTTGGAGGGGGGGCTGGCAGTGTCACCAGGACCTATCCCACCGGCATGAACTGGCTTTTTAGAGCCCACTCCCTATGGCCTTGATACAGGGGGGAGGGGCTAGTTCCTGCCTCACCTGATATGCCAGACTCTGTTGACTCCCCAAGGAAGACCTTACCCCCTCTGAGGAGTGGATGACGGGGGAGGGTTGGAGGCAGGGAGTTGGGAGAAGGGGAGGGAGGGGGCACTGGGGTTGGTATGTAAATTAAAAAAGAAAATCTTAGTCTCTCTCCTACCGTTGTCCTTCCAATCCCATGCTTTCCCCAGAGACAATTGCCATGACCGGTTTCCTGCACATCCATTCCAAGGCAGCCTATGGATGTTTACGTGTTCTTTCAAAACACAACGGTTGCCTATTATGCCCAGGGCCTTGCCCTTAGCTCTTTTCCTAATAGTCTGTACCACAGGTAAAGGGCCATCGAGCCGGGCGGTGGTGGCGCACGCCTTTAATCCCAGCACTCGGGAGGCAGAGGCAGAGGCAGGCGGATCTCTGTGAGTTCGAGGCTGGGCTGGACCGATAGCCTCCAAAACAATACAGAGAAGCCCTGTCTCATAAAACCAAAAAATAAAAAATAAAAAGGGGCCATCGAATATCTTTCTTTAAAACCAGCCTCATGTGGGAGCATCATGGTTTAGGTCACCATATTCTGTAGACGGGTGTGTAGATAAAAGCTTTAAGATTTTTACCTCTCCTATGGGTGCCTGGAAACTCCAAGCATGGGATAGAAGCCGATTCCCTGTCCTTCCTGGAAGTCATAGGATGCCGTGATGAACCAAAGGGAGATAAGCGTTCCCCTCTGCTGCAGGCGAAAGGTGGTTGATGGAGAGCTGGGCAGACCCAGGATGCTGGGGCCTTCTTAACTGCCTGGAAACCGGCCGACACTGACTTTCAGTCTCTTGTTCTGTGATTCGCAGGAACCAGATCCTCCAGTGGATGATGACATGACCCTGCTCAGGTGCCTGGAGACCTTCGATGACGAAGACTTGTAAACACAGCAGGGCTGGGAAGGAAGGGGTCGGATGGGGGGTGCTTTTCAAGTTTCATTGCTAGTAGCTAGGTTACACCACCTTGTCCTCCAAGACTCTTTGAGAGAGGCTGTTTCCAGAAGCCTCTTTGATGTTCTTAGTTTCTGGTAGTTATTAAATGTTAAGAGAAGCATAACCGTGTGTTGGTCCTTTGGGCTTATTGAATATAAGGGACTGGTCTGCAGCAGGACACACACCCACTTCGTCCCTGCTCAGGGATGGATGGGGAGAGACCACGTGGAGCCAAGGCCCAAGCCATGAGCTTTTCAAGGAGACTGTAGGCAGGATCTGCCCCTGTGGCTGATATCAAGTCCTTTCAGTGTGTTCCGGACTCGGCGTTGCCGTGGTGGGTTTTCCAGAGATCTTGTGTGCACTGGAAGCCCTCGGAGCAGTGCTAAGCTCAACCCTGTACTTCAGGGCCACAGAGCAGAACCCGGCACACCTGCTGCTCCTGTTTCAGACCGCTGGCTGGGTGCCGCGAAGACAGCCTGTTGAAAGCACTTTGGGGTGATGTTCCTGGACACAGTGTGGGTATCCCTGGGCTTACACACTAGAAGTGAGGAGGAATTTTCTGTCAATTTGACCAGGCTGTGGTATCCTATACTTAGTCATTTTACACTCAAGGTGTTTCTATGAATTTGTTTTTGTATGAGGCTGCGTTTAAATCAGTAGACTTTGAGTATAGCCAGTCATGGTCCATAATGCATTCGATTAAAGGCTTTAACAGCCAAGGGCTGGCCTCTTGAAAGGAAGGAGGAGCTCCATGGCAGCTCCTCCTCACCAGCGGCCCCTACAGTGAATGTTGGATTTGTATCTCCATGATCGCATAACCCCACTGGTGAAAGTCAATCTCTTGCCCCCTGTCTGTAGAGACGTGCACGTCCAGTTGGTTCTGTCTCTCTGGCATGCTTAACTAGCAGACCGGGTATGCAGAGAAGGAGGGTTTGCCTGGTTCTTTACAGTTTGTAAGTTCCAGTGACCATAGCTCCCTCCCCTGAGGTCCTCCCAAGCATTTTACAGTCCATTTCCTAAGATCCTAACAGGAGATGGTCCTAGGATGCCTCCAGGTTCCTGATTTCAATAGAGCTTTTGAAAGACTCCACTGTGGGTATACAAGGACACTTCACAGTTTATAAATGATCAAACTAAAGAGGCAGAATGGGGGGGGGGGTTCTGGATTTCCAGACAGCTAGGCAGCCAGGGGCTTTGCACTCATGTTGGAAATAAAAGAGGAGGCAGTTAGCTACCCTCAGTCACTCAGCAAGCCCAGAGTAGTCCAATATATGCCAAAGGAGACATGAATCTCCCCAGAGGAGCCTGCCCCTGTGACTCTAAGCAACATGCACCACTGCGGCCAGCCCCTCCCTCCCTCTGCCAGGCCCTGCCTTCATCCTCTTTAGTCCAAAGCCATGACTTCCTGGAGAAGAATGTACCAGAGGCACAGGAAAATTTAATGGGATGTTGGGCTATACCTTGTCTTCAGAGCCATGTGCTGGAATGATGTCCCACTGTCAGCATCCCCAGCGTCCCTCTGTACCCCTCCCCCACCCTCCCTACCCTGCTGGAGGTTACAAAACTAGGGCACATTCACTGTGTCTCATGATGCCTCCTCCATGCCAAGGACCCTTCCCACATCACTCAGGAATCTTCTGATGGTGACCTTTAACTAGGGTCATTGTGAGGTGGGGAGGCATGGCATGAGGGGAGAGAGGATACTCTAAGGATTGCTTACACGGTTCTTGGCTGTGGGTCCTGCTGGTCTGAAAGTCTTAGCCATTGGACCAGATTCATGCGGAACTCTCCAGGCAAAATTTCTTATTCTCTGAACTCCATTCTACTCTATGGTGTTCAGCTAAGCAGCTGCATCCCACCCACCCTTTCGAGGGCAATCTCTTAAGGTTGACTGATTGTAGGTGTCAGCCACGTCTATTATGTACCTTCACAGGATTCCTCTAAGTGTTTGGTCGGATGGCTGTCTCCTGTAGACAGGCCAAGTTGATGGCTAAAGCCAACAGTTAGGGGTATCCTGGGGGACTCTGTTGTTCTTGTTGTTATAATGGTTCTCACAGAAGATGGGGTATCTGCTTCTACCTCTGTTTGGTAGGAGCATCATCAATGGATTTGGCTGAATCTACAAGACTAATTAAAAGAAGAGAATATCGTATTGCCTTACCACCGAAGGGGAAAAAATGTAAAAACTTAAGTCTTCTACTAAAGAATTAGTATGTCGTGGGAGTATTAAAACAGCCATTAGAGGCCACAGCTGGCCACACACACCACTCTGGGTCCCAGATTCCTCTGCTTTGGGTTGTGACTTTCATATGGAATCATGAAACCAACAGTGGAAATCACATAACTTGAATGTGGGAGAGCTCTCTCTCTCTCTCTCTCTCTCTCTCTCTCTCTCTCTCTCTCTCTCTCTCACACACACACACAGACACACACACAGACACACACACACAGACACACACACAGACACACACACACACACACACACACACACACACACACTGGCACCAGGGGCATAGATCAGCAGTTGAGAGCATTCGTTGCTCTTGCAGAGGACCCAGGTATGGCTCTCAGTATCCACAGGGTGGCTCACGACCATCCTAACTCCAGATCCAGGGGGTCGAATGCCCTCTTCTGAACTCCAAGGGCACCAGGCACATATGTGGTCCATGTACAGACATACTGGCAGAACACTCATACACACATGAAGCAGAGAAATCTATACAAAGTTTGGAAACACTAAAAGGCCTCTGAACAAGCAACGGTCAAAGATTGATTTGAAGTCAATGCTTGAGGGAGCTGAGGTGCGTCTGGTAGTATCCGACCACGCTGCATCCTGTGACTTCACTGTGATGTTTCACTTCCAAACACACCAAGTGTACACTTTGTCCTGCACATGCCGTCAGACCAGGTGTCACCATCAGACCAGGCATCACCACCAAACGCTGCCACAAAACACTGCCAAAAGCACTTCTGTTCAGATGAGAGACAATCGCGTTATGAACTACACTGTTTACACTCTACATACATTTCCTGTTCTTATAGAAATATCATTGTTTAATTGCACAAAGCAAGAACTTTAAATATTTTTCTGTTCTCATTCCTCAACCTGTAAGTATCAAATTAGTATGTCTTTGGATGTGTGTTGCATTAGAATATTTGAATTTAAAAACTGGTACTTGCCAGATATGGTGGCACACCCCTTTAATCACAGCTCTTGGGAGGCAGAGGCTGGCAGAGCTCTGTGAATTCCAGGCCAACCTGATCTACATAGACAGTTCCAGGACAACCAGAGCTACACAATTGAGACCCTGTCTCAAATAAATAAAAATAAAAATTGTTACATGAGTTGCTGACTTTGGGTTTTATAAAAAAAAAAAAGACAAACAAAAAACCAGTTAAATAGATTTTGGCTTAGGACTAGAACAGAATTTCCAACAGTTACAGAAATGACCTTAAATACACTTCTGCCATTCTTCCTGTATTTATACAGGGTGACATTCTCAACACTGAAGATTACAAAGTCAAAATACCATTCAACTCTGATAAATACCGAAGACACTACATTCTACAGTTTTGACTATTCATGCAGGATTCAGTTCTTTGTGTAAAATAAGCACACCCATCTCATTAGTATGCAAATTAGCTTTCATCTTTAACAATGATGAAGTTATATATATACACACATAAATATATATAAGAATTGTTTTAAAATAAAAATTTCAACAGCTTATTAAAAACAAACATTTGGTTTGTGTATCATTATCTGTGACATCATAGGCAAAAAAAAAATTAAGGTTCAAGTAACCTTGCCCTAGATATTACTCTAGATTGGTAATGATGAAGGCAAAGAGAGAATGTGATGGACCCGGGAGACTGTGAGGCTGGACCTGAAGATGGTCTGCAGGTTTTGACAGTGACCTTGGTCACAACAGCCAAGCGTAGTTTCAAAGCACAGATGGTGTAGGGCGGGAGGTGACTGGACAGGGGATGGCACTGAGAGCCAAAGCCACCTATAGTTGGACTAACTGCTTTCTGGCGCAAGTTTCACCAAGAGCATTACCCCACTGCTGTCCCACCTGCTCTCACGCACTAACTAGTCAAGGGAGAAACACTCCTCCAAGCTTGACTCTCACCAAGTCTTTGCAGAAAGATGCCTTTATGAAATGTCCCTCCTGGATATGCTTCTCACCAGATTTCCTTGGCCCTGGAGCCCTGAATCCACGTAGCTGAGGGAGGACCAGAGGGTTTTCCAGTAGAGGGACTGAACAGTCCTCTCCCATTTTGTCCTGCGACGGCTTCCTAATGACTGTGCTTTGACGAACGGGCTCGGAAATCTAAGGCTGGCTGTTCAGTGAGAACACAGGAAAGAGATGGAGCGACATGATTGGACAGGGCTTGGATGGCTACAGGGACGGAAAGAGAAGGGGTGGGGGGATGTGTCTGCTCTTCACTGACTTGAGAAGCATCCTGGGCTCCCTCCAAGCAGCTAAGCCTGGCTCATAGGTTTGCAGCACATTTATTAAAGCACGATACAGGGCGAAGATCCTATAACTCCAAGCCCACCACGTGACACCATTCACAATAATAGGGTTTTTAAATGATAACACAGATAATAACAGACACATATGCTGGCATACAGTACTGAAGGGAGATTTAGGGATACAAGAGGAAGCTTTGTTGCAGGAACACCGTTGAGTGGGAAACGAGGGAATGGGCTCTGTAGCTTAGAGGAGTTGGGTTTTTCCTGAGGGACACCAGGGATACAGGTTCAGAGACTGAGGGGTGAAGAGATGTGGACATTCGCACAGGTCGGCTTCTACTGTGTCCCTAGGGAGTCGCTCAGTGAAACAGGAGGTTCAGAAATCAGCCATTAGAGGGGAGGGAGCGGGAGGGAGAGGGTTATAGGCTTGTATTGACTTGGGAAGCACATGAAGTTCATGGTCGTGAACCTAAGACCAAGGATGCTCGGTTGTGCACTCTCTCTAGTGACACTGTAAGCTGCAAAGAGTCAGCAAAGGTTGGGCGTTGGTGGCGCACACCTTTAATCCCAGCACTCAGGAGGCAGAGGCAGGCGGATCTCTGCGAGTTCGAGGCCAGCCTGGTCTACAAAGTGAGTTC